TATTCGATCAAGCCTAAATTTTAGTGCCTAATATTTCTATGTAAATTTACATAAATACATATATGTAAATACATATTTCTGTTACATAAACTGTGCGTGCGCGTCCACACACACATACACACAGAGATTATTGTCGGATTTGCAATCATAACTAAACTAAAATGATATCACGAATTAATTTGACATAATGCTTACTAAAATCTTGTAAAAAAAATTTCCTGATAATTCACGGACTTTCAAAACATTTTTGTTTAAATTCCAGGTAAGATTATAAAATTTCGTGTATATAATATTGAAATAGATTGGAGTACAAGCAACGCAAATAATCTATCATTCAGCATTTTGTATTACCAAGAAAAAGTTATCAAAGAAATAAAGTTTTCAGAGAGAGAGGAAGACACAAAATTTAAATTGCATATTAAAATTTAAAAAATTTCCTTGAGTATCGATAAAATATCATAAAAGTTTTTTATTTCCAAAGATTAAAAAGAAATTTTCTGAGAATTCCATATTGTTCAAGATAATAAATACCATGATGAACTTTATAATATTGTTAAGCATTCTAAAACATTTAAGATAATTTATTGCAAAAAATACCTATAACTTCTCAGTCAGAAGTAATAAATTAAAATATTACGTAACAGAACCATATACAATTACATAAAATCAATATTTTATTAAATTAATTATAGTGATTAATCAATTATTGAAATAAATATGAAAATGTTTAAGATTGAGGAAGCAAGTTTTGTATCTTGATATGTTATTATTTAACAAGCAAATATCCGTGGAAATAATTTGGAAATAACATGATACTTACAAATTGTCGCCGAACGTTGCTATTTTCTAACTGCTTGTTAAAAGCTTGTATTTGTTCCACTGTTGTGAGGGGAAAATTCGGTAAAAGAGAGGAATCAATTTCTTGTACTTCATTTTGTACTTCTCTTCTATTTTGTAAAAAGTGAATGATCCAGTTCATTTTACGTTCAAGTGTCGCAAATTTTGTATAATATTCTTGTCGGCATTTTCCTAAACAAAAACAACAAACATTGAAGTAAACGATTAAAATTACTGAATTAAACTATTATATTTTTTATAATTATCGCTTTTGTATTTGTCACAAAAATAAAACAAAATTTACCACAACAAGATGTGTGCTCTAAACGTATAGACTGATTTTCCAAATCTTCATTATTTACACTCTCATCTCGATTATCATCTCTTTTATCATCGTATGACTTTGAACCACTCGTATCGTGCATTTCACGCGTGGTATTATTTGGGATAGGATGAACTATCACATCTGACAATACTACTGGTCGACCAATTGATTTTCCTGTACATTTTTTACCGGGTACATAAGGATAGAATTAGTTATAAATTAATTTCAAAAACTATTTATACCTACATATTATCCAATAAGTTTAAAAAAAAAGCAATTAGTATAATACACGTAGCTCTATTACTGTACTGCATACTTTGTAAATCATAAGAACCTTTGTTTATTGAGTTTGAATCATTGTTGTCTATTACTACATTAAGCCATTCATCAAAGACTGTTTCCAAATTAGACTCCTCATCATTTAATTCAATGGATTCGCATGCTGTAACACATACACATCTCGTATATAAATATAATCTTAATTTAAATGAAATAAAAGTGTAATACCATTCATAAATTGGAGAATATTTGCAAGTTCTTGTCTTTCATGAAAATTAAATCTTAAACAGTTTTAAAGTACAATGTAAAAAAGTCTCTATGATTTTTCATCACTAACTTTGATATTAACTTTTGACATAACAAATTGTAAACGTTTCTTGAATTATAAACAGCAGCTTGTATGTTGCATTATGTACATTCATAAATGACAAACCTGGTTTAGTGATCGATGATTCATTAACCTGGCTTAATGAATCCAATACATGTTCGCTTTCTGTTGGAATGTAATTCGAAGGCGCCGTAATCTTCTCTCTTTTTGATTCATCTATGATTTTTCACACTTGTTATATTTGTGATAGTAAAACTTGAATATGTACAATTTATTTTTAAAATATGTTCTATAAGTACCACTACTCGATGAGTCACCGTATAATTTCGGTTTTTTTATAAGTCTCTTTTTCGAAGAATTCTCTGAATTTCCATTCGGTATAACAATATTGTCGTCTGATGTTGACATTTCACTTATTGCTTTTTCAATCGATCGTGCATGTGGATACGATTCTGTAACATGTTTTTCAATAAATACGAAATTTAGTTTATATTTTAATGTAAGAAATAAATATGAAAAACAAACCATAAGGACCAAATTTCTTATGAAATGCAAATGTGTTCCAGTCATCGCAAGGCAATATCTGTTTGACACAGGCTACAGTAAGCTGTTTACATTTTTTTGGCATTTGAAATGTATCTTGCTCTAGATTTATCCATACTACTGGTACAGTTATACAGTACGCATCATACAACAATACGTAAAACATTCTGAAAAATTATAGATAATACATATACAATAGATAATACATAAACAATATGACTAAAATATATTCCCCTTAAAACCGTTGCACTTCAATATGAAATATTCTTGGATTACATATTTATGAAGTAAATAAATAGTTATTTTAAAGACACTTTTTTAGAGACAACCTGTATATACTAAAATTAATTCTAACATTTACAATTTTTAACAATACAAATAAATAAATATATATAAATAAATAAGGCAAAAAATTTATTGTTTTTTTATTAATTACATCACACGTACAAAATTTACATCTCTATTGTAATGAACAAGCATGTCATATAAAGTTCCAAAATTGCTTATAAAGTAATAAATAAATATTATTACTACCAGAAGTGACCTTTCTGCAGCAATACATAATACGAGTAGAATTTCCTTATTTTAATGATGAATGTAACAACGGCATGCAGCATCAGACATTTGAGTCTTCAAACGGAAGTTGAACAGCTTTATTGTCAATTTCCGTAATTAACCACATTTGTAAGTCTGATACATTTTTTACTCTATATATGTCCATATGTTGTGATTCGCAGGGGTAAAATGGCAAAGAACTTTTTGTTAAAAATTTTTTGCCAACAATGACTGCTTTTCCTTCGTTACAGCAAATATGCTCAATAACAACAATTGTTTTATCTTTGAGATAACAACAATTGTTGGGTTTCTTATCTGTCAACGTAAAATCGCTGAATTCAATCATTCGATAAGCATTCGTACAATTCGTTGGAAGATCTTTTGCATATTTATGTTTCAAAATAGGTGCATTATATGAAATGCTACAATCAACTTCATTACATTCTTCTGAAATTCTTTTGTACAACTGTTGTAGTGGTTTCTCGGCTTTTCTGAGCATTTTTTTAATGGACTGCATATAATTCTCGAAAGGAAAGGCAGAATAATTATCTAGTGGTCCAAACATGAGTACGTCTTCATTTAAGTGAAGTAAATTGTGCACATTGTAAATTATAGCATCTTCCCCATACAACTGCTGAAATATTTTTACAAAATGTATCAGTAAATCTTTGCTATATTTATTATTACGGAAGCAATCCGTTGGATGACATAATATCCGTATTGCACAATTTAATGTATTAAAGTGTCGTAAATTATCTTCTGACAAAATATTTAGCAGTACGACTGGTCCAAGATACAATAAAAATTGTCGAAATTCTGTTGCCTTCCAACGAGATAGTTCGTCTAAAGAACGAGATTTTCGAGCAAACTCTTTCGGTGTCCATTTCGACATTGCAATTAACTTTTCCGATAAGTTTGCTATTTTTCGTCCATTTAATCTTGACGTTAGATATCCACTTATCCACAGTTGCAACAATTTCTTCACAACCCCTAAACATACTATGTAGATGCATGTAATCTAAAGGGAATTGTGAAACCATTCCCAATTTTATTGATTCAAAAGGAGATACACCAGTATGGTGATCTTCTTGTACTCTGTTATTAAAATTTAAATCAGTTCGAAGAGGTGCAGTGGATTCCAAGAATAACATATGATGATTAGAATAAATACCTTCTTGCATACACTTTCCACATCCAAAAAATCCATTGTGTGCTTTCGTGCAAGTTACGAATGCTCTTGCAGGACTATCGCAAATTACACTTCTAATTTTTATAGTGTACCTTTTCTTATCGAAAATGAGTCCTGTATTCTGCAGAATATTAAATTCTTGGCAAAAAGGTGTTAAAAAATTCTGTAGAGAAGCCGGTTTTGAGTGCCCATGATAAGCACTAATTACAAATGGTGTAAATGCCTTATCACCATAAATTTTGCCTAATATTGACCAAATTTGACTTTTACTGCTTTTTGATATTGGCAGTCCATCTATATTCAAATCTATCATAATAATATCATTTTCCATTACAAACTTTGTACGTGCCAATTGTTTTATTATTGCCGTTTTTAAACCGTAATGAAAAAAACTGTCATTATTTGCTAATACCTCTACCATACTATTTCTTGGCGTATTTAACAGTGTTCTTGCGTCGTTTGGTAGTAGGTCATTGTGTCCACATGTACGCAATTTCTTTAACAGGTCTGTCAAAGCAACGTGTGTAATGTTATGTTTTGTTTTCCACGAACATAACCATTTCAAAAGTTCTGGATTTTCAGAAACACTTTCTCCGGAATTGTCTTTATTTTTGGGTTCATCGATTACATTACATTTGAAATTTGAAACGTCTGTAGTTGAAAGCACATCAAAACCATTTGAATTAGAACCTTCAGATGAAATTAGAGGCATATTCATATCATCTTGCAACTCTAAATTATATGATGTAGGTCTATCGACATGATGTTCAATTTCTTGATGTTCTAAATAAATTTTTATATTGCCTTCAGATCTATCATCAGGATTATATGCAATCGACTGTCGTTCATAAGCTTGAAGACGGCGACTTTTTTGACGCGAAGATAATTCTCGAAAATTTTTCGGCATCTATTCATAATTCCATATTTTAGTAATTAAGTTAGTACTAAATTATAAAATTATTAATAAATTATTATACACCCAAAAAAAAATATTCTGCCGATAAGCGGGGAATATTACTCTTAGCATTTCCTCTAAGCAAAAAATCTGAAATGAATCAGGCGCGTGTACTAATAACACGTATTCATCTATAAAAATGAGGACACATATGAGCTACGATCAAAAATCAATTCCTCTATAGAAAATTGAAAATTCTATTATAATAACTCGAATAGCCTTTTGAAATAAAAGAATATGCAAGATATTTCTTGTACATCCTCTTATTTCAAAAGGCTATTCAAATTATTATAATAGAATTTTGTATGTCATATATAAATGGAAAATCCTCTGACATTAATACGGAACCGCTAAACGGCAGAATATTTTTTTTGGGTGTATAAATAAAGATTTTTACATTTATTTATTATTTTATTCATTTATTGCAATATATTATAAAAGGTGTTCCGTAAGAAAAACAAAAAAATTCTGTGCGAAATTCTCAGCAGAAATCGATATCATTTTATCTAAAATGTCATCAAAAATTGATATCATTTTTTAAAGTACATCAAAGAGAACAACAACATGTGTAATGACACAAAGTGCAAAAAAATTGTCGAAAACAATATCATGTAATTTTGTAAGTAAAAGAAATAATTGTCTTTGTAGATTTTGATCTACTGAATGATAAGCTATCAAGTCAGTGATATTTAGAGAAAATTCAACAAGAAATGCTGTATATATATAGAAATTTGCATGTTCTTGATTAATTTTCTCGATATTCTTCAAATTATTTATTTCGTTTTTCACAGTTGATTATAAGCCGTATCCACGGGCTAATATGCAGATTTTTTAAATGACATTAACAAATATTAGCTATCTTTGGCTGAATTATTAATTAAATAATTTGATTATTACTTTTACTGAACGCTTTCCAGCAATGTACACAGGCGTCACAGTGAAACACAATTCCGTGCTTTTCAACTATAGCACGATTGGATACAATCGTACACAGCTAAAGATATAGTATCGATTTGTATCATAGTTGGATTGGAAAGCGCGGAATCATATACTATATTACACATATGTACGCTGATAGAAAGCATCCGTTGATATTTTATATATATATAGATAGATAAACACACACACAAACGCAAAATATATAATTAATAAAGCATCTTACCTCTCAGAAGAAAATAAAGACAGGATAAATATAGCGGCCGGACAATGAGCAGGACTTAAAATGTGCACAACGTAGACACATGCACATATAATACTGATAATGATAAACGTTTTCACTAAACGTTCTTAACGTTACGGTATTTATAATGAGACGATCTGGAAAGAGTTGAGTTGTTCTAACAATAATTAACGAGATATATACACACACACATATATATAATTTATTATTAATTTCGCGATTCTTACAATATAACCTTATATATAATTAATAAAGCATCTTACCTCTCAGAAGAAAATAAAGACAGGATAAATATAGCGGCTGGACAATGAGCAGGACTTAAAATGTGCGCAACGTAGATACATGCACATGTACTGATAATGATAAACGTTTTCACTAAACGTTCTTAGCAACTTTACGTTTACGGTATTTATAATGAGACGATCTGGAAAGAGTTGAGTTGTTCTAACAATAATTAACGAGATATATACACACACACA